GACCCGCGGGGCCGCCTATTTGCAGGTCCCCCCCGGCTCCATGCCCCCCCCTGCATCTCCCCGTCCCCCCGCCTCCATGCCCCGTGTCCCTGCCCCCAGCGCCCCCCCGCCTCCATGCCCCGTGTCCTTGCCCCTCAATCTCCCCGCCTCCTCCCCCAGCTTCCCCCCAGCATTTTTTGTGACATTAGTAGTTACCCAAGAGGAAAGTCAATTCAAAGCAATTCATGGAGACTTCCTTTTGCCCAGGCCTCTCTAGATTTCTGCAAGCAAAGCAACAACGTGTGCGCCCGGGCGGTGTTTGTGTCCAGAACGCCGAGGGGCTTGAGCCTTGACAAAGCGGACAAATGGCCCTCTCCGTGTAAGTGAGCTGCTGTGATGGGCAGAGCAGCATCGCCTGGAATCTGACTCTACAAGGGCCTTACCCCCTGGCTGGAACCAAGGCTAGCCGGGCACCCAGCGTGTCCCAGGGAACACGCGCCACCTTGCGGGTTTGTGTCCCTTCTGGTATCGGTAGGTGGCACGTCCGGGTTCTCCAGGACGGCCCCTTGGAAGTGTTGGTGCTGACCAGCCAGAGGGAGTCACGCTCCAGAAAGATTATTGGAATGGGGAGGGGGCTCCCCAGAGTGCCAGGGGCTCAGGGAGTGGTGTGACCTAGCGCCCCATAATACACCTCCGTCTGTCATGCTGCCATAGAAGGAAACTTCTTCCTGGCCCTTCTGCCTCGTGAAGTTTACACCCTGGAGCCGGAGGCTGGCTGGCTCTGGCCACTTGACAGTCGGTGGTGTAACGGCAGGGGATAGTCAGTCAGCATCTCACTGTCCGTGTCATTGCTAGTTTTCCTGCCTGCACATCCTCCTGGGAAGTCCAGGACCCCGTTGCTAGAGCAGGCTCTTATTTTCTGCGCCCCGGGGTAAGCTGCTCCAGGTAGCAATTTATATCATCTCCAGCAATGCTTTACCCCCAAACACCCTCTTGTGCTGCTCCCTGTTACGTCGGGTGTTTTCACTGAGCCGTGCCGGCCCCAGTGCAGTCGACGGGACATCCCTGCCCTTGTGTGTTATTAGGCCACTACAGAATCAACGAATCCCTGGTCCAGAAGTCACCCAGGATCCCCGTGTCTTGCTTCAGATCGAATACCCATCGGGGAGCAAAGGTGCACAACACAAGTCCCGGGCCGGCTGCCTATCAGCTAGACAAGCCCACAGCCGCCGCAAAGAAGCCCCCTTCCACGTGAGTCCCAGCCTGTCTGCTTTCTCACTGCCAGTCCTCCCCAGCCAAGCCTGCAGGCTCCACCCGGCTCTCCGCACCGTTCTCCCACCATCTCCCAGCAAGCCCCGACTTGGCTGCTTCTGGTGTAGGGGATGGGCAAAAAATGGCTCCCGTGGGAAGCAGAAGTCCCAGGGTGTTCTGCCTCAAAGGGGAGATGGGCTGATAACACTGAAAAGCAAAATATACAAACTGTCGCCACACACACTACACAATGGCTGTGCTGTAGGTAGGATAGACAATCCCCGGTTTACAGATGCAACCCAATGGAAGAACAGGGAACAGATCCCACAGCTCCCGGCCAGTCAGAGGTTTTAACCATGGCCTTGTCTACACTTACTGGGAGATCGGCGCTGCAGGAATTGAGCGCCCAGGGGTTGATTTAGAGGGTCTAGAAAAGACCTGCTAAATCAACCACCGATTGCACGTTCATCGACTCCGGTACTCCACTGGATCAAGAAGAGCAAGGGGAATCGATGGACAAGTTTCTCCCGTAGACCCCCGCGGTCGAGACGCCGCGTCCCTCCAACTCCAGGTATGCCCTTCACGTAGCGGGAGTTGCGTACCTTAGTTCGACATTGCCCCCTAGTGTAGACCTCGCCCATTTGACCCAATTTTCCCCCCTTACGAAAACCAATGCGTGATCTCACCCCGAGGTAATGCCTTGTGGCTAAGGAACCTCGCCCGGGCACTGTGGCGTGCGAGTGAGAGGGGAGGGGTTCACAGCCGTCTGAATGACTAACGTGGGGTGCACCCCGCGCTGGGCCAAGAGTCAGTTGTGTTGGGCTAACGCTTAGACGCGCCTCTGAATGGCACCGAGTCTGCGAAACAGGCGGACGACGGCCTCCCCGCGAGGCTTCACGCACTTCTTCAGGCCAGCCCAGCCAGCCTCTCCCACCCCCAGCCGACGGGCAGGGAGAAGAGGAAAAGCCCCTTTCTTCCCCCTTGGCAGCGTGGAGGAAAGGCAGAGAAGTCTGCCCAGCAGCAGGTTATTCCAGTAGGTTTATGGGAGCACCGCCCACTGACAGTGACATGGCTTTGCCTGAGATAAGATTAAGATCAACAATAAATTCTTGGCCAGGGAAAGGTCTGAGGAGTCTCCGGGCAGGTCGGCAGCTCTGCACGGAGGCGGCTGGAGCTCACTGCAGGGGGTGGGCAGCTGTTGGGCAGCGAGGGGGCTGCGAGCTTGTCATCACCGAGTGGCTCTCCCGGGACGGGGGCTGTGCTCGCTGCGCTTGCACCCCTAGAACTGGTGGCACGTGTCGACTGCACCGCAGCAGCGCTGTGATTGGCTGCAGAGGGAGCGCAGCCAGCACCCACCTCTTCCCGCGGGGGGTGTTCAGTAACACTGGTAGGAAGAGTCCAACACGCATGGAAACCAGCAGGATCTGGCAACCCTGCACATGGCAACGGAAATCTCTGGCAGACCACACAGAGCCCCAGTGGGCAGCACGCGGCCCTCGGGGGCAGGCTGCCCATTGCTGCGAGAGAGGCAACGCCAGAGAGCGCGTGCTAGACACAGAGCACTAGGGCAAGGCCAATGAGATTTCAGGGAGCTAGACGGTCTCACATCGTCAGCAAATATCAGCCCCATGAGCATCCAGGCGCCCGAGTCAGGCTGTCTCCGTCCTATATTTGGTGGTCAAATATTGGAATAAATTGCCAAGGGAGGTGGTGGAATCTCCCTCTCTGGAGATATTTAAGAACAGGTTAGATAGACATCTGTCAGGGATGGTGTAGACAGAGCTTGGTCCTGCCTTGAGGGCACAGAGCACTAGGGCAAGGCCAATGAGATTTCAGGGAGCTGGACGGTCTCACATCGTCAGCAAATATCAGCCCCATGAGCATCCAGGCGCCCGAGTCAGGCTGTCTCCGTCCTACACGCCAGGGGCAAGCGGCTGTGTCCACACAAGGGTGGAGGCCCAGCAGCAGCGAGCTAGAGGGGGCGTTCCCTGCTGCCTGCCCCTGGCCACAACCTTTCCTCACTGCCAGAGCGTGTCCCTTGCGCTGCACGGCAGCAGGGCCAGGTCGAGGGGGCCGATGGGTGACTGGTACAGGGGCCCGCACTGGCCAAGCACCGGGGCCGAGGGGCCGACAGCTCTTGTCTAGGCCATTCTCTCAAGCTTTTAGCTGGGCTTTCCGAAGGAGCCCATGGGGTGCAAGCGCCCAGTGAAACATCAGCACCTCCCTCCACTGAACCTCAGAGCTTTTAGTCTCAAGCTTAAACCTCCCTCCCGTCCGACTGTAGCTTGAGTATTCGCTTTTCTTCCAATAGGCGCAAGCAAAACTTGAATTTCTCTGCCGCAGCCGTACCACCTCCTAAAAACCCACCTCTGCCGGGGCCGGGGCAGTACGAAATAGTGGACTACGAAGGCCCGCCGAAGCATTACATCTCTAGTGCTGTATTTGTTTCCAGTACGGGACGGTGGACAGGGAACACATCTCGACAAGGGCTCCCTGGGCCAGGTAAAGTAAATATATTGATAAATGCTTTGTATTTACAGAGGTGCTGGAGCTGCAGCACTCAGCACTTTCCGTAGCTGATTTAGCAGGGTGACCCTCCTTTCTACGGCTAGGGAAACAGAGGCACAGAAAGGCTAAGGGTCAGACATACAACGGTGTATAGGATACAGACAAGTGCCTTAGGGTATGTCTACACTACAGCACTAATTCGAACTAACTTAGTTTGAATTACTTAATTCGAACTAAGCTAATTCGAACTAACGCAGCTAGAACTAAAAACTAGTTCGAATTAGCGTTTTGCTAATTCGAACTAGCGCGTCCACATTAAGTGGACCCTGAAGCGGGGTAAAGGATGGCCGGAAGCAGTGCCGGCAGGGCATCAGAGGAGGACTTAGAGCATGGAGCTGCTGTCTCAGGCTAGCCGAGGGCTGTGCTTAAAGGGACCCGACCCCCACCCCAGACAGACAGTTCTCAGGGGTGCCCCGCTTGCAAAGCAGTCCTGGCTTGGAGTGCTCTGAGTGCCCACACTTGGCACATCACAGCACTCGGCCATCAGACCGGCTGCACTTGCCGCAGGCCGCCATCTGGGGAGAGGGGGACAA